GTCGCGAACGATTAATTGCAACGCTCGAAACGTCTTCGTCTTAAGTTTTTTTTTTTTTTTTATAGATTAATAATAAGTTAATCGGGCATTGGTCATTGATCATTTGGAAGAACTTTTTTTTTTTTTAAGATTAATACTAAATTAATTAAGATATTGGCCGATCGTCTGGAGGCGGAATTCTTTCCAAAAATGCAACGCTGCGATGTGACCGTAAAAAAATTAACTTAATATTTATAAATTTTGAGTTGTAAATAAAATGAAAATAATTAAAAGACTATTGTTATTCATTGCGCAAAAATCCTCTCATGTATTTGTGTCGCGCGGCAGTTTGAAGTTAATTTAATTTTTCTGTGATATTATTGTCGCAATATAGATATATTTATATTTCTTAACGTAATAACGTGAAATTGTCGACAATGAAATCTCATCTTTTCAATGTTGTTAATACAATTAGCCTTAAACGTTCCAATCTCCAATTAGTGACGAAATTGCTATTAAAGGTTTTTCAATTTTCTCTTTTGTATCATTTAATTTCTTCATATTTATGTTCAATACTCCACTACGGTTCATATTACACACAAATTCTCTTTTCGTGTAATCTTTCCTTTATTAAAGAAAATATTATATATTCCTATCAACGTAACAATTTAGGCGATTTGAATAAGATCGTTAACCAGTTCAGTTCTTTAACAAAAAAAAAAGAAAGAAAAAAATAGCACGAAATTTTCATGGAATACTAATTTCATCATAATAACTTGTCATTTCCACATTTATTATGTAAAATATGTATTTCATAGTATAAACCGTTTCATTCAGAACCATTATCTTACTACTATTAGTATTGAATTACCATATTCAATAACAGGTTCACTACAGAGCCGACGGATTACGTCGGACGTTTCTAAGCCATATCAGTTTGAATTTGCAAGTGAAAAATTTTCACAATTGAGGATCCCGCGATTGTAGAATTTGCGAATTGCGAACGTGAATTATCACATTCTTCTTCGGAGAGATTGAATAGCGGAATAATAATATACATAAAAAATAGGCGCAAAAAGGAGATCGAGAAAGGGAGTCATTAAGCCTCCATTAAATATTAAATATTAAAATCCATAACGAAACATATCGATTCTCGTAATGTTTTATAATCGCACCTCCACAGAAACTAGGTAATGCGCAAGAATCGTCGCGTTTAACCGTGACGCAACCAAATGTCGTTTAATTATCATTCATTACCTGCATTATCTCTCAATTACACGAACGCGGACATAGAAATCATTTCCAGCAGTGCGAGCGATGTGAAAGGACAATAAAAAATCATGTGAAAATTTATATACGCATAAGTATGTATATGTATATGTATATATATATATATTATTTTTTTTTTTAATTACATGCATACGTATGTTTTTGCAAGAAATGCTTGAAAAACATAGCTGCGAGCGAGCGAAAAGGAATTGTCGCGAAATAACCGTGAACATACACGGCCCGTTTAACGTACGCGATTTTATAGCTGCCTCGCCTCGGATCGTAGCTTTTTCAATTTTCTCCACGGCAAACAACTGAAATAACCAATTTTGCGACACCAGTCCATCACAATCTTTAACTATTTTTCGAAAACAGTGGCAGAATAAAGGTATACCGATA